TTGCTTAGCTTCAAATAAGGCGCAAATAGCTTTAGTAACTATTTTATTTTGATTATATTTATTAAAATATCTTTTATTATTTTTATATTTTACTGACACAAAATCAATATTTTAAGCAATTTATTAAAGTATGTTTTGTGAGCAGTTTTGTCATTTACTTAAATCTACTAATAATGTTATGTAATTTCTTGGTGTTTTAATATCTGTGGTGTGTGTGAACGAATTACGGCGAATTTACGACTTTGACCCGGCAGATAATTCTGTGATAAATTCGATATTTACTATAAGACCATGCACTACTAGTTATTCCAATAGTATGCTTGTAATAGCCCGTTAACTGCTAACCCTTTGAAATTTCACACTGCGCCGTACAGTCGAATTGTTTGGTTTTATTACCGAATGCGATCCATGGAATATGCGAAATTAGCCACCCCCTCAGTCCTCTTTGTTCTATAGAATGCGGACACTGAATACACATTATACCTCTCTTTCTCTATTTCACCCTTCTGCGCGACAGATTTAATTAATCAAAGTTACGTCTGTCTTGAATTTTCTAATGATTCTCGAGAGACATAATTAGCTTCGAGTAAAATAAGGATTTAACCCTCTTAAAACTTTTAAATGATTCCCTCTTTATTTTTTATGTGACGCATGGTTACACCGAATGCTTCGTCTGACGACTAAATTTTAGTTACACCCGTCAAATGATTGATTGCTACACAGAAAACTAAAATAGATACAGTAGAAATCAAATTCCACACAGCTACTGTTAGGTAAGTACTTTGTTGATTAATCATGGTCAATTGGTTGGTGCCAAAATCGATTGTGCGTGTAGCAATTGCAATGAATAAGGGTAGCAAAGGTTATGGGTAAACAATGTAGCATTTAGAAAGGAAACTGAAAAGGAGTTTGAAAAATGGAGAGCAATCAAGATTAAGGTGCTAGATGGATGGTGTGACACTATACAAATATAGTGTGTGCATGTCTAAATGAAAATCGAAGAAGAAAGATGTCTATAGAATTCCTTTAATGCATGTGAGGGGACAATACATTTACAAGGTCAGATAGTAGAAAAAAGAGAGAGCTGGAAACCAATATAGTATGCACTATCTTAAATGTGATGAAAAGAACCGTAAACGGGATTTGGGGAATTACAAGATTTTAAGGGGTGAACAAAGAATCATTGTAAGATGATATTTTGAGGGACTTTTTTTAAAAATTCAATTTTCATTTGTAAAGTATTGGAAACTACTTTATAAATAATGTTTCTATATTTATAATTGAATTTTTTTTATCATTATTTATTCGAAATACTAAAATTATAATAAACTAAATACATTTTTATTTTAATAATTTTTTGAGAATACAATAGTATAGTTTATTTATAGAGAATTAAGTTCTTACTAAAACTTATTTCTAATTATTAAATTGTTTCTCGTGTAGTAGTGATTTTAAATTGAGGAACATAATTGGATAATTAAAAAATAGAGGAGTACTCGATCATCATTTTTCTTTTATTAAATGTTACTATAGTATTTAAAAAACTATATACTGATTATTCATATTTAAAATTAAAATTATTTAACTCAAAAAGCTACAAAAAAATGATTAAAATATCGCGGATACGTATTTCGAAAACATTGTTACTAATATGAACGCTAAACACATACTGACACACCGATAAAAAAAAACCCCTTATAGGTAATATTATCAAATTTTGTCGGTTTACACAAATTGATTAATGAATTTTACAGTAGGCCAAGATCCCAATTAATTAAATTGTTCATATTTTTAAATATTCCTATTGCCTCCCTTATATAAAATTCTTTGTAATTATTTACGTTTTTAATTAGTTTTACGGTTTTAATGGAGTCATTATATGTCATTAAATGTTCAGCCACAGTAGATTTATCAACTTCTTGATTTTTAATGTTTTTTGAGTGTTCTTTAAACCTGACCCCAATATTTCTTTTTGTTTGTTCTACGTAACATTTATTACAACCTTCACATTGTATTTTATAAATGCCTGATTTCCCTCTTCTACTACTTTATCTTTAGGGTCACCTAATAAATCTCTTAAATTATTACTTTAGGATGTTAATAAAGTAATACTAAATTCTTAAAAATTCTACCTGATCTATTTTAGATGGTTGGATAATATAAAATGGGTGATATAAGTTGGGGCATTAATATTCGACACAATAGACATCGCATTATTATACAGCTTATGTATTCTTAGCATAGTATATAGTTTAGGTATTAGTGAATTAAAAATTGTAATAAAAAACCTGAACTTTTCTACAATTATTATTTTATACAATTGATAACCGTTTGTATCCTCCCTTATCATTTTACTTAATGGATTTTTTTAAATTTCTTTATAAGGAACCTTTTTAATCATTTTTATACTCTATTAAAATAATCTTCTTTTGTCAATATTACTATTTTAAATAAAAACCGTTTTTATTTTTTAAGTCTTGTATGAGCCATGAGTGTTTTTCATGGTTTCCTAAACCTCCTTTACTTACTGAAAAAATTTTTTGTAGAAAATTTAAACACTCCCTTCTTGTTAAGTTTTGATCATTAAAATCAACACTTCTGACTTCTATTTCAATGTATACTAGGAGATCTTCCATCGGAAATTTTTTCGGTAAAAAATTAGATTTTAAAATCCAACTTAACTAATTCTGTTTCTTCATTAGAAAACACAAAGTTCATATAATTCTTAACTAAACTGTAACCCAATTTTTTAGAAAATGAAACTACCGAAATTTTATTAAAACTATTTATTTGGCCCTTATTTTGTGTTCTGAAAGTAAATTAAACGAAATTATATAATTTTTCATAAACATTCGATTTAAATGTACTATGATATAATTAAGACGTGTCATAATCGATAATGTAAAATCGATTGGAGTTATATAGCAAATGAAAATAATGATGGAAAGAATTTTCACTAATGAAAAAAAAAATAATCCTTGGGCGTAACATTTTCAACGCCCGCGCAAGTGTTCGATAAACCAGACTCGTGCACGATCGCTGGTCATAATAATGTTTTGAACGACAAACATAAAGAGTATAAAAAATAAACATGTTTTCCGTGTGCGTGCTTTTTATTTTATTAATTTATCGTTTTAACACTCCTCCTGGCGACACGCGGTATCTCGTAAATCCACAACGGTTCGTTATACTAACGCCCATAGGGAAATCAATTATCTCTATAATCACGATGTACGAAGGCGTTAATGAGAAAAATAATATTGAAGTGTAATGTAGTAAATTTTAAATTTTAGGCGATTATTAAAATTTACTGCATACCCATGTTTTACGCTTTAGATTTTAATGTCCAGTGTTCATTCACTTTGTTGTCGTTTAAAGTCCATAAATTAACGTTGATATTAATTTAATTAAATATTATAGAGCGAATATTGTAATCTATGTTATTCTTATATTTTTCAATGTCAGTGAAGTAACTTTTATAAAAAACACTATATAGTTAAGTTCTGTGTTTAGAATACATTTATTTAATGCCATTTAAAATATTTTATAACTCTTTGAATATTACACTTTTTTTTTAAATAAAAGTAATGTACTGATATTTTAGGGTAAACGTTCTAATGTATTCTTCTTTTTAAATAATTTAAAACAAGATTTTTTCTATCTTACGAATTTGTATAATTTTAGTCCAAACTTGTGACAAAAATAAAATATTCTCATTTTTTGATATTAAAAAATATTAATAGCTACATCTATTGTAGCCAAACAAGAATTTTTTTTCAGGTAAAGGGTTATTATTATTTTTTTTTATTATTTTATGAATTTTTCTTTTTTTGCTTAACAAAAAAAATTTGTTTGAAAATTCGAATTGATTTTTGTAAGAGTGCTGTAAATACATTTAACATTTTTGTTGTGTAATTGATCTAGTTAAACAAAACAATTTGAATTAATTAACCTTTAAATATCTAAAGCGCTGTGCAGTTTAAAATTAGAATTAAGGCACACAGAAGTTATATCTGTTTGCGTGTACACATTTTAAATGCGTGCTTCGGTCCAACTTATCATTATGATTTAATTAATACATAATTCATGACCAAAACTAAGTTGGTAACGTTCCGACAAAACTTCTGGGTCGACGCGACGCGACAAGACCGGCGACGCAGTTTCTAAAGAATTATTTTTTGTATAGGAAAAGTGGCCAATTAATCTCTTAAGTCAACCCTAGTCAGATTCTGTACAAAAGATAATCCGAAAAACGACACGTCCTGCAATTTATGGATTGGTTTATGTATTATCCATGGTGCTCTTTGGATATTTGTAACAGCTAAGAATTGTATACATTATTTTCGAAAACCCAATAAATCTCTACTTCTCGTATCGCGTTCGTGTGGTTATCAGAGCGGCGATTAGCTTGGAAATCGATGACGGCATTGCATAGGAAAAACATAACACGCTATACGGTGTCACGGAGGTCAAAAGACACACGATTGTATGCAACTTTCGTTATAAATTGTCCACACATTAAAATAAACGGGGTTGACGCGTGCAAATGAAAGAACAACTTGTAAATAGTAAAGTATGAGGGTTGATTGAGGTCGCAGAAATGCTACTGGTGTTACACATTAGGTCACCTGGCACGGCCGACACGATAAGTTATTACACTTTCCTAGACGCTTGACATGTTCGATAAAAAAAACTCTGTTTTTATTGGACATATAATAGTAGTATTCTAGTCTCATTAATGCACGCACATGATGTGTTATTAATAATTCGTAACGGAGTACTGTATTATTCACGTCAGTACTGTTTCGATTGAACTTAATGAAATATTCAGGAGTAATTTTGTTGTGGTTCATAAACAAAAAACGACACTCGTATAAATTAAGTAATTACTTGAAATTTAAAAAAAAAAGTCAATATTTATTATTGGACAGGCACATATGAAAATATAATAAAAACTAATGTTCTATGTGATAAGTCTTATATTAAGGGTGCTCACTTACCTGGAAACTTTTTGGCAAGCTTTGCTATTTTTCCATTTGTTTGCATGCTCAGTGTTTGGCAGAATCAAACTATTCTAATTCTTAAATCCACATTAGACTCCCTATCTATTAGACTTAGAAATTTTCAAAACGTATCGATTTTATGTATTTAAATTTGTCGGTTTTGAACAAATAAGAATTTCAAATGGTTAAGTGAACATTTATTAATGTACGCTGATTTGGAATCGGTGACTTTGTATACTGAAAATTAATACTTTCAAACATTGGCACAGCTGTTTATTAAAATAAATTTACAAAGATATAAAAGTTGCATTTTTTCGTTATATGCAATAAAAATAATAAATGTTTATTTAATAGTTATAATGTATATTTAATATAATTTTAACGATAAGTACTTAAACAACCATTTTATAATATTTTATTCTTTTTACGCCAATATACTGTACCAAATTGATAATACAAAATACTATTACTTTCATTGAATTTGAGTTAAAGAACTCTCATTGACCTTATTTGAACTCTAAAAAAAAATGATTATAATCATAATAATTTAAAAATATGATAAACGGCAACGACCCTACATTTTTATGTTTTGTGCGTACTTACTATCAGTGATGATGCGTATTTAATGCAGTTTCTTCTATTGTAATTTTTTATCCATTTATAAATAAGTTCTTATACTTCTATACTTTCGATTTTCCACTCTCCTCTTGTATCACTATATAGAAAATGTGTGAAGGCGGCGGCAGTCATCATTAGAAAGTGTGACATATCACGTATGAAAAGTTGGAATCCTAAATCGTAATAATAATACTGTATCCGGATATGCATATACATATTTTATAAGGATATAAATGTTTTCATTTTACGTTTGTTCTAAAATTTTAATTTGACTTTTATATATAATACAAAATCCATCAATATGTATAAGGTCTAAGGTGGTACACTATACATACTTATAGTTATTGGATTTTATAATCATTAAAACACACGTAAAGCTATTATTTTAGCGCTTTGTTTCTATGTATATTTATCTGAATAATTTAGATTAACTAGATAAAAAGCGTACTAAAAATTATTTCCAATGACAACTATGTTCTACAATTATAATGTTTTGTTATGTATAGTGCAACAATTAAGGACATCAGTGTATAGGTAGTAATTTGATTAACTTTAATTAGTATGCTACACTTATAAAAATTATTGGCAAGTGAAATCGATTGAACAACAGACACGTGCAACATTTGTCGTTCCGCGTATGGTTTGCTTTTTTCAATTAAACTGCATAGATTTCATAACCTTGGCATTAAATGTGTGATGTAAATAGGTACTCAGTTTTTTTATTTATATGATGAACTAAACAACAAAATATATTATTAATAGAAATTATCTTTAATTTATTTGTAGCATGTCACAATAATTTGTCAAGAAATTTTCTTATCAATATAAGATATAATATAATAATAATACATATTACAATAAATCTAACTACATTTAATTGTTGTTTAACTTCTTGTGATCAGTGTATTATTTGCTGATTCTAAATTAAAAAAGAATCGATAATACTTCTCCATGTTAACGAAAAAAAAAAAAATTTATATAATTTTCACAATTTGAAGATAAAAGAATTTTAAGTAAAACCCATAAGCGTTAAAGAGAGGTAAAAATATTGAATCTCATCTATGACTAGAAAATTGTTTATAATTCACCATTTAAAGAGGGTTAAAAATATAGTAGACATAGAATCTTTTATAACTGTTTAACACTTATGGTATTAAAAATTCGATTTGTATTATTTAATCATACAAGATTTATCATCATAATTATATTGCGATGTTAAATTTAATATATAATATGTAGATTTACATTATGAACACACACACACACACACACACACACACATATATATATATATATATACATTAAATACGAGAGATCTCATTATTATTGATAAATTAATTTATTAATATTAACATTTAAAACTAAAAAATAATTTGTTGTTGAAATAGTGCGACAAACATTGTATTACATACAACATATACATAAAAATACTTTTATTTATTTATGAACTCAAGTCTTTATAATAATTTATAAATCATGATAATGAGTTTTATGCTTATAATAACATAATGTTAGAATAAATACTTTTAACTTGTTAAAAATGTAATATTATTTAGAAGTTGCACAATTTATATGAATAACATGTAATTTATAACATTACATTTAGGCTGATATTTTTAAATGGTAGGTAGGGAGACTGATTAACAATGCCTCACCTGATATCTTTAAAAGTATAAATTATAAAACAACTTTTTCTTTTAAAAAGTTAATAGTATTCTAAATTCAATAATTTTTTCAAAAAATGATTCTCAACCCCCTTTCTCCCCTTTATTAATTAATTTAAAAATAATAAAATGATAATAATAAAATAATGATTGATAACAACTTTTGAATTAGTATTTTAAAAGTGCTAATACCTTTAAAAAAAATTCTGGTTCAAAAGTTGTTTCAGGGACAGAGGGGGGAGAGAACCATTTTTTTTTTTGAAATTATAGAATTTAGGATACTATTAACTTCTAAAAGGAAAAATTATAATAAGTTTTATATTTTTAAAGATTTTGCATGAGAGATAGTTAATCAATCACCTTGTATGTTTCTGTCATTAGATAAATGTTTGTAGATTATTAAGAATATTGATTATAACAAATGTTGAAACGTCATTATTATATTATTCAGATAAATATTTAAACTTCATTAAATAATTGTAAATAAAAAATAGATAAATTGTATTGACATCTTTAACTAAAATTTGAATTTTCAATGACGCAGAATGAGTAGAATATTGCTTTAATAAATTGTTATATTGTTATTTTATAATAATATTGCACGTATAACAAAAAATTACCGTAAAAAAGAAATTAGTTAAATTTTCTACTCAGTGAACCGATTTAAGTAAGTTTATTTTATAAGAGTTTTTGATGTCATAAGGCCAACCATAAAAGTACTTTTTAAGCGAACAAAAATAATTACCATATAATAGAATATTCAAAAGAGAGGTAATAACCATAAAAAACCGAAAATTCATCTACCGTTTTTTTTCATGGATGAAAGTATTATATCATATTTATTATTATTTATACGTAGTTAACCCATATGTTATTAATAAAAAGAAATTATTACTGTGGTGATATTTTTTCAGAGATAAGTAACGACTCTAAATTATTTGCTGGGGTCATAGAGTAAACACCCGTACAAAATATAAATTATGAGTTTACTGCTGAAACACTAGTAGATTATAAGAAAAATTACTTTCTAAGTCGATTGGNGGGTCATAGAGTAAACACCCGTACAAAATATAAATTATGAGTTTACTGCTGAAACACTAGTAGATTATAAGAAAAATTACTTTTTAAGTCGATTGGATCATGTTTTNCTAGTAGATTATAAGAAAAATTACTTTCTAAGTCGATTGGATCAAGTTTTTTTTGAATTGTTAAATGTAACTGAAGTGTCATAATAACTGCAATTTAATCGCTCCTAGATAAGTGTTATCACCTATTGCAATGTCAACACAAATCTGAGAAGCTCAACAATGTTTTCGACAAATATAAATTAACTGTAATTATCTAATAAACTGTGTCATTTCCGCGTGCTATTTTATTGAGACCAAGGTTACCGACAGTTATTGGTTTTTTTTAAATCATCGTTTATCATTACAGGTCGTGTAATTGCAACGTTATTATGCGTTAGTGTCTTCGCCGTTGTATTATTTAACGACGCATTTTTGACGTCATCTGATGCACAGCTCTTTTTTTAGAAATCATAACTAGGTATTAGTAATTTGACCGTAAACGGCGTTTACGGTGTTTTTTAATAAGTCTTTCTATATTAAGCTTTATTTAAGTATGCGATTTTTATACCGTTTCACCTTAATATGCACGAATTAAATAAAGACGGATTAAAAATGATAAGTGCAATTAAGATCTATTGATTGTTATTTTAATACTATACTCTTGAAGCTTAAAACAATATGTAAATGTGCAACTGCATTTTTGTTTTATTCAACTAACGACGTATGTATTTGTTCTGTCATTCGTTCGTGATAATGAATGTCGATTATTAGTTTTTGTTGAGTTTTTAACACGGTTAAGCAGATAAATAGTGTAACTATTTATAATTACAAGTGAAAACGCTAAAGAAGGTTATAGGAACTTAGAATTTATGTTAGTGAAAAATATAAACATAGATGTCCTTAGCTTTTAACTAATGTTCACTTCATTTCTATATTTGTAATCATTACCTATGCGAACTCATTGTTTTTAAAATATTACTCATATTGTAAACCATGTCTCAATTAATTATGCAACTTAATTTATTGTTGGGACGACGCAATGAATCGTAAGGTGCTTGTAGAAATTATTTCAAGTGGAAATCATCTTATCGTCGTCTGTTTTTTTTAGGTTTATCAAGTTTTTTATGCGAACATTGCACTTGTAGTGCTTACTCAATGCACTTATACACTTATCGATGCATTCTAAAATAATACACTTTTTTTAGTAATTATCTAGAAATGCATAAATTAACTATAAGAATATTTGTAAATAAATGCATGTTATTAGTAAATTGATAGAAAGTAAACTTTTTGGCTTTGACAAAAACCCAGTACGTTTAGTATGATTAAAAATACATCATTTTCCAATTAATTATTTTTTTATAATCAACAAAACATTTTCCTTTTGTTAGCTTTAATTTGTTTAATTTGCCTAAATATTTATCTCCTTCAAAAAAAAAAACTTATACGTTTGAACGTAATTCTTTTCAAGTTTTAGAAAAATTAGTTTTTAAATTTTTTGAACATGTAACTTTTACTATTGTATTCATTTAAATGCAGTTGCAAACTTTTAAGGAAATTAAATGATCTTTCTATCTCTAGTTTTTTTATTATCTACAAATGAACAATGCTACTTGATTATAACTTTTGAATACAATTGAATTACGTTTCAAATGTTAGTAAATTTATCAAGAGTTCTATTTAAAAAGTGGCCTTGCCATTGGAATTATCAGAGCAAACATGAATAAAATTAATTAGTTGAAAATGCTTATCGACATTTGCATTAGATTCGAGACATTGTATCCAATAACGTAGAGGTTGAACTAATAGTTATAAATGTCCAATGTCTGTTACTAAAACAGATGTAAAATATTTGTTTAAAATGCATTGTT